CATTGCCAGGATTTTCTTAAAGGGAAAATCCTGTTCTGAAAGGGAGTTGGAAAGCCCAAAGTCTCTAAGGTTTTATGTGAATATTTATATTAAAGTAAACAATGGTTGTTATTGATGGGAATGTCTCTAGAAATGATATTTTTTTCCCCCTTGGCAGGTACAAAGATCAGAGTTCTTTCACTCAGTGAAGCCAGGGAGAATATTTGTATTAAAGTATAAAATGGCTGTTATTGACAGGAAAACAATGGGAATATTTCTAGAAATTATTGGTTTTTTTCCTTAGCAGGTACAAAGATCAGAGTTCTTTCCCTCTATGAAGCCAGAAAGAATACTTGTATTAAAGTAAGAAATGGTTGTTATTGATGGGAATGTCTCTATAAATGATATTTTTCCCTTAGCAGGCACAAAGATCAGAGTTCTTTCACTCAGTGAAGCCAGAAAGAATACTTGTAATAAAGTTAAAATATGGTTTTTATAGACAATGGAAACGTCTCTAGAAATGATATTTTTTTCCCCCTTGGCAGGTACAAAGATCAGAGATCTTTCACTCAGTGAAGCCAGAGAATATATTTGTAATAAAGTAAAAAATGGCTGTTATTGATAGGAAGACAATGGAAACGTCTCTTGAAATGATTTTTTTTCCCCTTTGGCAGGTACAAAGATCAGAGATCTTTCACTCAGTGAAGCCAGAGAGAATACTTGTATTGAAGTAAGAAATGGTTGCTATTGATGGGAATGTCTCTATAAATGATATTTTTCCCTTGGCAGGTACAGAGATCAGAGATCAGAGTTCTTTCACTCAGTGAAGCCAGAAAGAATACTTGTATAAAGTTAAAATATGGTTCTTATTGACAATGGAAATGTCTCTAGAAATGATATTTTTTCCCTTGGCAGGTACAGAGTTCTTTCACTCAGTGAAGCCAGAGAGAATACTTGTATTGAAGTAAGAAATGGTTGTTATTGATGGGAATGTCTCTATAAATGATATTTTTCCCTTGGCAGGTACAGAGATCAGAGCTCTCTCCCTCAGTGAAGCCA